TTTTGATATTTTGAGGGAGAATTTAAGAAATGGATGGAAGGGAGCGGTAATGTTATGAATAATAAAATACTGAGTGAGATGTAGGGCTGTCAAAAAAACTCGTTGTTCGCGAACAATTCGTGTTAGGTTTTTCAATGAGTTCATGTTCTATTCGTTCGATAAATAAATGAGACGAATGTGAACAGATATTTTTCGTTCAGTTAGTTAAACGAACCGTACATGAACAGTGATGCGTTCGTTCGTGTTCGAATCATTATGGTTTGAAATATAAAACAATTTAGAATAATTATATATAAAAAATTTATGATATTTTAAAAAAAATTAAATTTTATAAATTATAATATAAAATAAAATAATAATAATAATATATTAATATACTATATTAATAATATACTAATATAGATATTATATATTTATGTAATATAAGTTATATAATTAATATAATATATTATTTATATATATTAATATTAGGGATGTCAAACTGGCTCGTCGTTTGCAAACAACTCGTGTTTTTCTCATTCGTTAAAAAAGAACACAGGCAGTGACTTCACGAATAATTTCGAACACAAACTTATTTCAAACGAACCGAACACGAACATAAGCTCTGTTCGTTCGTGTTCAGTTTGAGTTTGTTTACACCCCCCAATGATATGTATGTAACTTTTTTCATAATTAAGTTATTTAATAAATAAATGAATAGATAAATTTTCATAATGTGCCTCTTAATTAGTGTGAAATTATAAAGGCATTTTAGCTAAAGAGAATCGTTTTCAAAAAAGAAAAGAAAGGGTTGATATATTTATGTTTGGATAGAATTGAAAACTATTAGATTTGTTTTAAGATTAGTGTTGTATATAGTATATTGAAAAATGAATTTCTTTAAACAAAAGCCGAAATGTTAAATTGGCCTTGTGGGCCTATTGGATCAAACCGATCGACCAGATAATTAACGGTCTGGTTCTAACCAGGATAATCAATCATACTTTTTCGCCGTACATGTGGGGGTGACAGGTAACAAAGTTTCTTGCCGCCTATGAAGCTCATCAGTATTTATGTGAGTTCCTCTGATCGGGCTCGCTAAGCTTAAGCCCTCTGGCAAGCTTCTCTAATCAAGCTCCCTCACATTTCTCCAATTCTTCTTCTTAGCGCACAAGTACCCGTTGAATCTCCTAGCAAGGTTGCCAATAGCTACCTGGCTGCATCATTGAACTCGATGAACAGTTATTTGAGACAGAAGAACTTCAGCCAAAAAATTTCCTAAAACACTAATTAATCAAATTAATTATTAGTTTGATTAATTAATTTCTAATTAATTTACCAAAAACCTTTAATTAAGTTAATCATAGGCCTAATCGAGCTCTTTAAGGTCCTAAAAGTTTACTTTGGGTTATTTTGTAAAATTAAGACGGTTATGGGGATTAAATTAATTAATTAATTAACTAAATAATTGATTAGTTAATTAATTAGAGATGTTAATTAACAAGCCATTAATCACCAACCCAAATGAAAAAAAAAAAAAAAATTTCATGAGTGTTGGGCCACACCCCCAACACTTTCGGCATTTTTCATATTTTCTTAGAAAATTAATTAATTTTATATACATGAACCTATATAATTAATTCTAATTAAAAGTTCCTAAAAGAGTTATTAAATAACCCAAATTAATCCCAAAAAAATCATTTTTTGGTGATTTTCTTAGGGCAAAATTTCATGAAAGTTTGAATTCAGAAAAATATTAAAAAATCATTTAAACTTATTTAATTAAATATTAAAATTTAGAAATTAAATTCAAGGGAAAAGATCCTCAAGTCAACTAAACTTTAAAAATTCATAGGAATTAATCCACTTTGCCAAGTTTAATAAAATTTTAAACATAAGTATTTTAAATATAGGAAAAAATTATGAAAATAAAATAAAAATATTTTCTGAATTTAATTTAAACATTTAAATATTTAATTAAACCTTAAATAAATTAGAATTTAACAAATATAATTCAAAAATTTCAGAAAATTTTATAGAAAGCTTGGGATATTATTCTTAACTAATGTTAAGCTTTAAAGATTTTTTAAGTTATCCTTAATTTTAATTAATTAAAATAATTAATTAATTAATAATTAGTTGAAGTTTAAAAAAATAATCATAAAAGCCTAAATCCTCATAGAAAGTAATATAATAACGATTTTGGGGTATTTAAAATGAATTTGAATAAATTAAAGAAGAATTAACAATTAATCTGAAATCAGCTTGAGAAATCTAGGGTAATCCCCTCATCATTTTGAATTTTGAAAATTGAATGTATGCTTTCCTAAATAACCGTTTAGGAACATAAATCCTCCACCCCTCATTCAAGATTCCATTAAAATTCCATAACACATCTTTTGGAATCTTAGGTTGATGACTTGATACTTAATCCAATTGAACCCAATTAAATCAAACTTAAAATTAACATTGAATTAAAAAATTCATTTAACAAACACTAAGTGAAGAATATATAATCAAACTACTCGTAGAAACTTGGCGTTATACACCTCATTTTCCCAAGTGAGATATGCCTCCTTGCTAGGATTAGGGAGTTGTGAGTAGCGGGACATCGGCCTAAGTGGGTCCCATTTTCATGACACTCTTCATAACTTCAATAGAAATGAAAATTGAAATACTTGCACAGCACAAACAACTATGACATGAACCATCCAATGAGAACAAATTAAACCCTATACTTGAATTACAACTAAAACAAAATACTAGAATGACTTTCTCATACACCAAAAATTTAGACATTTTTGCTAGTCCATTGCCAAGACTTGGGGTAGGTCGATAACAATTGTGTGTGGTTTTCTTTTTATGAAAATCATTTGCATAAGAAAATCGTATTATACTTTCTCTGTGTCTCCTTGTGTATTCACTCGTTGTACAGAAGGTGGATCCGTCCTATGAAGATCGTCACCATTATAGAGTGAATCCGTCTTTCGTAATAATTAGCCGTAACAATTTTTCTAACATGCATCATATAAGGACTCACAAAACCCTTTTTCATAGCATACACTGCACAATTAGATTCTCATTAATAAAATAATATACTTAAAATGACTTTATTCTATCGATTGCATCATGATTCCTGATTGATCAAATCTATTATTTCTAGTTGGCTCGATTGAGTCAAGATCATCTTTTATTTAATAATAAATTTAAAATTTTAAAATAATAAAATATTAAGCAAAGAACATATATTATATAGACCATTTGATCTTACGATCTAATTATAAGTCCCGACACATCAATTCTAATAACAATAGCCTATCACTCTTAAGGTACATGTGACTAGCCTAGTGAGTTTAAAGTGTAGGAGGTGTTAGCCGGTTGCTTATTTCAAGAGGGTTGTAAGTCTATTGGATTTGGGATGGGATCCATTCCTTGGTAAGAATGTAACATGTAAGCCTCACCTTTTTAGTTAGGTTCGAGCCTTTACCTTATTGGTAGAACTTACCTTAATATATGTTCGAAAGCTATCTCGTTAGCATTGTCGCATCACTAACTTCTTCTAAACTTTTTGACGCCCCGTTTTTGTCGAATAAAAGTCATAACCTTCTAAAAAAGTTTTCAAGTTAAACAAAATCGTAAAATCAATTTATAAATGATATAGCCCAACTATAAGATAGACTGGAGTTACCACTAGGTTCTCAATATCTGGTTTCTTCTACTTTTCTTCCATTGGCTTCTGATAAGAACTGTTCTAATTTGAGCTAATTCTTTCTCACAATATGAATATCAATCTAGATATCTACCGTTATAATCTACAAAATTGAATAGTCACCATTAATAGTTTTCTTGTCATGAGAGTCAAATCATGCAATTGGTCAATTGATTCCCCTACAACAGGGCGCTAAAGCATTAAGATAAAAATTTGATTAAGACCAGAAATGATGTCGGCACATAATTACCAAAACTCAACTCTAGGAGTGTAACTATGTTGGAACCCCTCCAATCATTCAGAGGTCAAAGACTTGTGCTTCGGCAATGGCTTTTGGAGCGAAAGTCGCCAGATCCTTATGATTGTAAAATCAGAGTAAAGATGGACACTCGAAAACAGAAGGAAGGAGCACAAGAATGAAACTCTTGATTCACAAATCTCTGCAAGGACTTGAGCAGCTATTGAATATCACATGGAGTTAATGTGACAAAATCTTCTTATGACTGCAAATATTAATTATGTTGTTACTAATTTTATTTTTTCTTCATGCTGAATTAGATGAGTCCAATATTATTTTATGTATTCGTTGTCATTGATTTTATGGTTTTTCATTTTAATTTTTAAAAATTTTAAACATAACTTTTGATCATGCACAGATCTTGAAATATTTGAACAAGTAATAATTCTAAATGCAAATTCAAGATTATTTAAGCTTCAATTTCATCAATCTTATAGTAAAACTAAGCATCTAAGCAGGATGAATCTGACAACACCAAAAACAATCTGACTTGAGTCCAAGTGGACCGAGATCTTGTACTTAAAGCATAGATGAAAGCTATAAATAGATTTTAGTGGTCCGAATGATCTCCAAATCTAACAAGTTTATAGTCAAATCGAGTATCTCGACGAGCTTAACCTAATGAGCCCAATATCATTTAATTTTGATATCATTAAAGTACTTAAATGCTCATAAAATACCATCCGACTAAATGAATCACCCTGGACCGTGGATGAAGTGGTCCGAATTCATATAATATTTAGAGAGGATGTCATTTACAAAATCTATAAAAAAGACCCCACTCTCGTCATGAAGGGGGGAGGATTTGGACCTAGAATAGAAAGCTGAATGAGCTCAATGGCCTCAAGGATTTCCGACCTCCACCACTATCGGGCCCATAGCACACAAGCCACCGCTACTGGACCACCGTCTTTTTTGTCCGACCACCATAATCAAGCCACCATTGTCACTAGATCATCATTGTCTAGCCATTGTCAAATAGCCACCCTACTGTTCAACCTCTGTCGTCGTTACTTGACCACCATCATCGAGCCGCAGCCACAACCGGACCATTTAACTGCTGTCCGACCACTAACGACTAGCAGTAGCTTCAAGGGCAAATCTGCCATTGCGCCCACGTACGCACATGCATGCCCGCTAGTTGTTGCACCCAAGTGCACTCCTGTGCATGCTCACACACACTCTTGCATGTACACCACCATGTCATCTCGTCCCTACAATCACCGGCTCCGCACTATCCACACGCGGCCACGTAAGATGTTATGCCCCAGCATGCACTCATACTCATCTCATATCCCACACTCATACTCGTCTCATATCCTGATACATCAACAGACACATCCTTTTGCCCACTTTTTCACACACAAGTACTCGTGAACCTGACACATATGCCTATGTGCCTAGACACATACAACCTCTACCAACAATAGCAACGACGATATGATCTAGTCTTTTTTATATATATATATATTTATGACTCAATTTTAGTGTTCTCAAAATTCAATGGACTATATGTGGATTTTGGTCATTTGAAAAGTCAAGGCTTCTCGCTCCAAGACAAGGAATTCAAGAATGGCTAAAATTATGATAGATAAAATTTTAGTTACTTTAAGGCGCCGAGAGGAGGTCCACATTAACATCCAGGCAGCGGTCGTGCCTTGCATTTTTTTCAAATTGTAGCTTTTTGCTTAAATTATAATTTCAAATAATGTATTCATTGACATTGGAAAATAAACAGTAATTAATGTGTTATCAAAAAGATTTTACCATGAGGGAGAATTTCAATGCATTTTAAGCAAGAAAATTACAAATTCAAATTCAAAATTATATGGGCTTCAATCTCAATGACGCCAAAAGTGATTCAATTTGAGTCCAAATAAGCCCAGATCACACACACGAAGTGTCATAAAATGTTTTGGTGCATCAATTGAAAAGGTAAATTATCTTTAAATATGACATGGTTATAGTCAAATAAAATAGCTTGACGAGAGAAATCCAATGAGCCTAAGTTCATCCAATTATACCGAAATGACTTTCACCAAAAAACTATAAATAAACAATCATTCTTTACTTGAAAAGGGATAAAATAAGATAAGAGCGAGTTGAAAACTAAAGCCTCGCCCTTGGAAAGAAGTGCACGTGAATGACTACCAGTCGTTGTCATCCACCACCAGCAATTATTATGACCAACTATGACTAGTGTAGCTACCAACTATAGCGGTTGCTTTGGTAGCCCTACCTTGACTTTTATAGCATCCCCCTACAACTTCTGTAGCCAACTACAATTGTTATTGCCAACAACTATGATTTTTGTATCAAACTACGATTGTTATAGCCACTAATTATAGTTTTTGTAGCCAACTAAAATTATTATAGCAATAACTTATAGTTTTTGTAGCCAAATACTATTATTATAACCACCAACTACACTCTTTGCAACTCAATTATGAATATTGTAACTAAGCTATTACTTTAAGGCTATGATTGTCAGTTGTTGTAATCACATTTTTGCTAATTCATAGGAAGAGTGAACCTATGTACTTTTAGTTTCCTAATGGAATGCTTTGATCGGACCATACCCCATAGTTTTTTCCCTTTCAAGGTATTTCCACCTAAAAATTATGTTTGCCTTTAACATTTTTATCCGTGTGTGGAGAAAAATTATAATGAGCTAAGGTTTTAGTTTTTTTTGCCGTCAAGAATTTTCGAGCATGCAACATAACTTTTAGCCAACTATTGTATTTTAGTCAATTTATTTATTTAATAGAAAAAGAGTGTAAGAAAATGGTTCCTTATACAAGCTCTTAAATGGTGTCTCTCGGGCAACAATAGCCTCTAGGTTTTATGCATCTAAAATCTCTCAATAATAAAGTGACAAAATATCATAGCGACACACTCAAGGCTCATGACATATTCATAAAAGTTTTGAGAGTTTTTCAATGGCTTTCGGGCATGAATAAATTGTGCGATGACTTGTATGTCTTCTGAAGCTGTTGAAGATTGTGATGTTTATTGCAGGAAGATGAGAGGATCATCGTATTGCTGCCTTCTTAAAGGTAGAAATGTTTAAAAGCAATCCATGCAGCTTGTTTGATTATAACTCTGGAAGACCAACCACCAGCTGTCGCATCGCCCACAGGTGACCTGTATGGCGACGTGCAGTGTCCGTGCGAAATATTTTCTTCAATTTGAGCATCTCGACAACATAAAATTTCTCGAGTTTTATCGTTCTGAGATACAAATGGGGTCAAATTCATTCATGAATTATAATTTCTTAAACCCCAACTCAATTTCTTATAAAAATTGATTAATTTGACATTGGTGTCAATAAATATATATTTTATGAACAATTTTTCCTATTAATTTATGAAATAGCCACCTAAGACTTCGTACGCAAAGATGAGTATGCAGGCAGACTGAAATAAGAAAAATGGATTAAGTGAATGCAAATAGCATCTTCTCTGATGATAGAGACAATATCTTCCAATAGTTTACTTTGCATTAGCTTACGTCTAAATAACTTTTTGTCTTCAATTTATAAATCAACGTTTTGACCATTAAATATATAAATACTTTACATACATACCACTCAATTTTTATGTATTTACATATCTAACCCCTAAATTTCAATTTTTTTGCATGTACAACTCATGCATGATAAATTGTATTTTATTTTTATTCTTTTAAAGTTAAAAAGTGATATTTTTTATGGAATATGAAAAATTTAGATGGTACAATATAAAAAAAAAACAAAATCTAGGTGTTAGATATGTAAATACGAACGAATTGGGTGGTATGTATGTTAATAATGCCCCTTAATAAATAGGACATTTTTTCCAACTGTCGACCATACAATCCATGCATCAATAAATTTAATAAATTCTCTTGTCAAATTGTATAAATTATTTTTAATTTCCCTTTCATTTACTGTTTCTTTCCATCGGTATGTCCCCCATTAAAACTAGAATTTTCCCAAAATTTTAATTACATACTATTGGATTCATATGTATTCATATACAGATCGTGTAGCCCGGCCTGTTGGTTGGCATACACGGTATAAGATCCCTCAGGTCGGGTTTCGAATCCTCCCTGACATAGTATATATATATATATATATATGAATGACTATACTTCTATATTTATTCATATGGCATCTTAATGTCTAAATGATATCAAAATATTTGAAAAGAAATTATTATAAATAATTTAATATTAGTGGCATCTTTTGATCTTATTTAGATATTAAAGTATTATATAAATATAAATATATATATTTTTTAACATGGTGCTTCAAAATAATTAGCCATTAAATTTAAATCCGGGGGCGATTACATGCCGCCCGAAATTTACTATTTACAAATCAACCACCTTCTTTCATCCATTGTTTAAATTCTCACTCAAATATCAACCTAGCGAGTATTTTTCCTTTTAATCAAATTCTCAATGATTTGATCATGACACACGAAATAAGTTGATTCGGTTAAAAAAAAAAAAATCTCCTTTGAGATTAATTTGTAAATATCAATGTTTGGGCGGTTTATATGTAATTATCCCTTAAATCAAATGTACCTTAGTGATCTATTCATCTTTAGTTAGGCTGATGCTAGACTTAATAAAAAATATTAAATTGAGTCAACCTTATTTAAAAATTAATACTCTCCAAAATATTCTAAATGTGTTAAATAGACTGATTAACAAATATAGCTCATTTTCACATATTTAATATCTAAAATTTAAATACTTAGGTAATACTTTAATGTCTAAATCACATCAAAATGACTACAATAAACGGCATGCTTAGGGCTGTAAAAAAAAACTCGTTGTTCATGAATAGCTCGTGTTCCGCTTCTATGGCTCGTTTGTTAAGTAAATGAGCCGAACACAAAAAAACTCTTTGTTCACTAGGCTCGTTTTAGCTCGAAATAAAAAATTTATAATTATTGTTTATATTATAATTATATACATATATATCATAACAACTCATGTGGTCATGTATTTTACCCTTTTTATTGCACAAAATTGGTGCATGTTTGAATTGAACACCCTACATTTATGTTTTTCCATTTAATTTTAATAAGCCAATTTAGAGTTGAACTTGGGAAATGAGAATATTTAAATTGAGTCGAGCACGAACACACACTTGACGACCCGATTTCGAACACGAGCAATTTCGAATGAGTCGAACACGAGTGAAGCATGAGCTTACTCGAGCTCGACTCATTTACAGCCCTGGGCATGCTTCATCTTAAGAGATTAATATAAATGATTTAAAGCTTTTCATAAGTAAAATTGATCATTAATTAGTTTTAATTATGAAAAAAAAATCAAGAAGAATTTATTGATGAATTACATTGAGGTGCCTTTATACACATAAATAAAATAAAATAATTAATACAAGAATAATAGTACGTATAATAAATTTGTAATGTTCAATATGAGCATTTTAATTTAAATAATTGAAAAAAAAAGTGTTTGAATATTCCAATACATTTTATATTAAGGTGAGGCTATTTTTATTATGCAGATCTTATATATAAAACCCTAAGAGTCTGTTTGCGGCAGCTACAACTTATTGAATTTATTTAGATAAACAGCTTATCCTGATAAGCTGACTGACTGTTTGGGGCAGCTGTTTGAAAACAATTGATATGCAGTTGTTTGTGGATAAAGAATCATTCTGCCTCTGTTAAGTAATGTTGTTTGTTACAGAACGGTCTTGGCAATATATTCGATACTGCAGAAGCAGAAAAATAAATTTCTATTTGTGAGAGTGTATCTATGTTTTGGATCTTCTGATTTTTTATTCCTAAAAGCCTCATAACTCTTTCATCATGCTTAATTAGCTAGACACAGTTTTTCATTATAATATATAAGATTGGAGATCAAAGATACAATTTGATGCGGCATTGGTCATTGGAAACTAATGATTGTTTAGCCATTGTGCAGATGTTATGGAGAAGATTTGGTGCAAATTTAAGCCAGGAAATACTTTTTGGGTACATACAAACAATTAGCAATTATAAATCTGATCAATACAAAATTCATTAGAATTTGAACCGAACATACATATGATTAGAAACCATACATATAACATTCAATTGGCAAATTT